CAAATTCAACCACTATACATGTATGATATTTGTAATTTTTATCGTGGAATACAGAGCTCAGTTTCAAAATTTCAATAAATGAAAGAATGAAATTTTCTCAATTTTTAACTTTCAACTTTTTCATGAATATAGGGACCACTTCAAGCCAGCAATATTTTCCTGGAGTCAACCCTCATTCTTTTTTTCCCCTTTATTTGACTATATTTTTACAGTTACAGTATAAATACATATTCATAATCAGGGATTTGAAAATGGTTAATACTATAAGGGTGCAAGTATCTCAAAACAATCACAAATTATATAAAGTATCATTGCCAACCCCAGTAGTCATTCAACTCCAGACAATAGACGTAGGCAATAGACACAGGCAATAGACACAGGCAATAGACACAGGCAATAGACACAGGCAATAGACATACATTGCAAGGTCACATTATCTGGAAGAAATGTCCAGACAGGATTCATGTTTCCTTAAATCAAACACTTGAAATCAGTTACTCTTCTCTAATAGGTTGTCTTTATGAGGTCCCCAGAGTTTCCTTTCTGCTACAGTAAAAAACATATTCATACATGGCTAAAAGAAATGTTTATGTTGAAGCCTAAAAGCTAATAAAAATAACATTGAATTACAAACCTGTATTCCGAAACACCTCTCAATGTGAACACTTTTTCTCAGGCCCAAATTTTTATCTCCCATTTACTTGTTCATTTACCTTGAAATGTGACCACTTTTTCTCAGTCCCAAATTTTTATCTCCCATTGACTTACATGTTCTTGAAATGTGAAGACCTGTTAAAATGAACACCTTTGGCCAGTCCCAGAGGCATTTGGAATAGACAGATTTTACTTGACCATTCTCTGTTTAGCATAGACAATTCTTCCTTAAAATCACTACAGTTATCTCCCCAGGATTTTTTCACGGGTAGGTTCAAAATTCTCGTTTTCACAATTCAGACCAAAATTGGTCAAAATATGCCAATTTTTCTAATTTTCAAGTGGGTGCAAATGGATTTTTCAGATGGGTGCAAGCCTATTTTCAGATGGGTGCAAGCCTATTTTCAAAATCTCAGGTTGGTGCTACGCCCACTTGCTTTAATGCTGGGGAAATCACTGCACTAATTGATTGCCTTTTAAGGTCCCCTGAGTTTGATTCTGTGCTTTTAGTAGTAAAAACATATTCATTATATGACCCACTTAAATTAACCCTAAATCCCAAAAGGCTGGTAGTAATTAGTACCCTCTGCAAATATGGTTTCAACTAGAGTACAAAACAAGGCTGCAAATTGGTGTCAACAAGGTTGATAATTGATTTCAACAAGGTAGCAAATTGGTGTCAACAAGGCTGCAGATTGACCTCAACAAGGATACAATTCTCAGTTGTTTCAATATTCTGAGAGGATCACTGGATATTGTAATAGGCTTTATATCAATTCTCTACAAATATTTGATGCCCTACGTCATTGTAAATATTTATCCAATAAAGACAAAGAATTGAAAGAAATCTTGACATTTAATCTTATCAATTGAAGTAGGGCTTTAATTGTGATGCCCTGTTAGATAAAGGTTGAAGTCACCTGTTGCAGCACACGGTTTAGGAATATCATCTAATTATTAAAAAGATTAATTATTCAAAGATGATTTATTCAGATTTGGAGAAAAGGTACATCTCAGTTTCAGAACCTTTCATGATGTTCAGTAGACTGCTCAGCTACTAGAAGTTATTGGTTTAGATAAAACCTTTAAAACCCCAAAGCCTGAATTAACCTCTGAATAGACAACCTCTGGACTAACCTTTGAATAGTTCAGACAATAGCCTCTGAACTAACTTATGAATAGTTCAGACAATAGCCTCCGAACTAACCTCTGAATAGTTCAGACAATAGCCTCCGAACTAACTTCTGAATAGTTCAGATAATAGCTTGAACTAACCTCTGAATAGTTCAGACAATAGCCTCATAACTAACCTCTGAATAGTTCAGACAATAGCTTGAACTAACCTCTGAATAGTTCAGACAATAGCCTGAACTAACCTTTGAATAGTTCAGACAATAGCCTGAACTAACCTTTGAATAGTTCAGACAATAGCTTGAACTAACCTCTGAATAGTTCAGACAATAGCCTGAACTAACCTTTGAATAGTTCAGACAATAGCATCTGAACTAAACTCTGAAAAGACAATAGCCTCTGAACTAACCTCTGAATAGTTCATACAGTAACATTTGAACTAACCTCTGAATAGTTCAGATCTTTTAAAGAGTCTAAGTCAAACAAATGGAAAGGGTATTTTTAATAGGATGCACTTTGATACATTGATCCATGTCATTGTGATCTTCCTTCCTTCCGATCTTTAGCGATTCAACCTTACTTAGAAATTCATGTCTTATTATGTTTTCCCAGTCTCCATAATATTTGACCTTGAGTCTTACACAATATCTGCCCACGAGATAATTGTATTTTTGTCGTGATCATGCACGTTTCACACTACATTCTTTCTAAAATTTGCCTTATTTACTTGTATTTCTGTTCAAATTAGAATTTAACTATGCATGTGTTTATTTATTCCTTGTTGATTCCACATTATTTCATTATTTGTATTTTTGAAACATTTTCTTTCAAGAGGGCGGTTTTCACACCTGTATTGATGGAGCACATTAAAAGCCCCACTTGCTGATTCTACTCTTACACATTGATGTCTTGTATTTTCAGTGCATTTTTTTCAAAGTGCAATCCAATTATTGTGCATTTTTTCAAAGTGCAATCCAATCATCATGCATTTAATCATCATCATCTTGTGCTCATGGGTGTGCATGTGTGCATCTTTGCATGCAGGCAGGTTTGGAAGAGGGTACCACATTAATCTTGTCATCGCAATTCCAGGCAAACTGAGCACTGAGCACCTATTACTTTTTGTTTGAATTAGTTGTTTGTCTTGATTGTCTGAAATATGAGATGTAACATATAGAGATGTTCACATTGAAAATGTTCATTTCTAGAGGTAATCAAATGGTGTTAACATTGAAAGATGTTGACATCGAGAAGTTTGAGGGCTGAGTTCACATTCGAGTTATCCTACATTTAGAGGTTCTAATCGCAAGAGTCAATGAGATATCACAAAATATAAGATGAAAATTGATCCGTGATTCGTCACTCTTGATAGTTGTTCACATTAACAGATTTTATACACAGCTATGGGAGAAACTAATTTCAGTGTCGTCTGTGATCTTTGAATTGCATTATGGTTGCTATCAACCCCCATTGCTTAAAGTATAGGTTTCCCCTCTTATTTGGATTCAATTAGACACCATGGCGGCTCTCTTGGAAAAAAATATCATGCAGCTCATATTTTCAAACATGAAATGATTGAGAAATGAGTGGAATTAGCAAGGAATACTCAAATGAGACATGACGTTAACACTCTAAATTGTATGGAAATGCAAAAAAATCATATGTTTTATTCAAATTTTAGAGAGAAAGAGCGTGAAATATTTGTCAGCTGGCGATATTTTTTGATTATCGGCTTTCAGTTGTCTAATAATGACAAATGCCTGCTGAAAATGAGCAGACGACATTAGGTTTTCACATTGTGAAATGGAAATCATGTCTAGGAGTAGTTTTTCTCTCGCGTGTTTATTGTAGGTTTTATTTTGCTTGAATGCGCGATCTAGAATGAATTTTATTGTGGTTTTAATCTTGGATTTGGCATAACATTTGTGACTTTTGCGTGTTTTAAGGTTTTGTAATATCAAGGTTATTGTGACACTATATAATTTTCCACGAAATTGAGTGATATTTAGAGAATTAAGAGAAATTGAGAATTTTATATGACTATAACCTGAAGTCCCGGAATGCAGTCATAAAATATTTTAAAAAACCGTTTCTCGTGCTATATCCATGCTTCATTTTCAGCTTTCACATGTAGTCATATCTATAGCAAATTTGAATTAATGATCTAACAATATGTACATTCGTTTTGAATTACATTCAGAGTTAAAGTTCCGTGCTTGGCAGTTAAGAATTGTATTCAGCATTTGTAACATATTGTCACATATCTGTAACCATTTGCAATAAATTGGTGATATTTTTCTGGAGCTTGTTTGATGTTTGTTCTTCAATAAAAATTAGTGTTATTCATTTTGCTGTCTGTAACAAATGGCAGGTGGTGACATTTTACATGTTAATGCCTTGTTTCCATTCAATCCAGTGCATCTCATTCTATGAAATAATTCATCACTACAATAGCTGATACTGACACCTCAGAAGGTCATTGTGACATTTTCATGCTGTAGCTAGCAGACAACATTACCATTTATACTATAATATATATTATATACATTAACCCTTCACAATAGATTGCATAGATTGCCTTCTCCAAAAGTTTCAGATTTTGCCTCGAAAGGAGAGCTTCATCTACAAGCTACTAGCCACAAACAGATTAGATTAATCAAAATTAAGCTACTCGATCCAAATAGCATTCACTGAATTCTATGCTTTCATAAGTACCTGACATTCATTTCATATTGAAACTCCCATTAAAGACTGTGGCAGCTACTTTTTAAGGCATTCAGCTCACTGAATCATGGAGCTTATTAAGGCTCCCTGGAGCATATTTAAATAATTCATTATTTATTAATCAGTTACATCAAAACTTTTATAAGTGGAACACCTTTTGAACATTGAAAATTGTTTGACTCTTTGTGGCTGTTCCACTTTGCAGCTGTTCCACTTTGCAGCTGTTCCACTTTGCCGCTGTTCCACTTATAGAGGTTCAGTATGCCAAGGTACTCAAAAAAGGTGTTCCACTTACAGATGTGTTTCATTTACAGAGGTGTTCTACTTTACAGAGGTGTTCTATTTTAGAGATTTTATTGTTAAGTCATCTGGTCATGGGACACTAAAAAGGTGTTTTTCTTAGAGAGGTGTTCCACATTACAGGGAACTTTGAAAGTGTTCTACTATTCCACTCTACCAGTTTTACCATATTGTTGTTTTTCTATTTTCAGGCAACTATAGGCATAGATTTCCTCTCAAAAACAATGTACTTAGAAGATAGAACAGTAAGTACTAAGTTTTTATTGAAAAACTTCTCAATCATTGGAAGTAGAAGGAGCAGTTTGTGATATTGGAAGTAATTTCTTCATGAAGCATGCCATTGTGTCTGTTGCAATCTAAATGTTGTCCTGAAAAAGACACCTGATTAAATGTAGAAGCTATTTGATGATATAAGGTACAGAAAAACTAAATTTATGTAAAATTATCATTTTGAAAAACTTCAAATTTTGTGTCTATCCCTTCTTCTTCTTTTTTATTGATCTCTTGGCTACGGTCATATTCATTTTTTTACAATTTGATAATATTTAATTCATACAATTTGGTAAAAGTAATGGTAGACCATAACGTCCATTTTAAAACTTTTTTTGTATGAAATAGTTACAAATTAACAATTTTGTTTTGTTTTCGGTCTACTATTACATCATGATTTCCATGGTAACAACCATAATGACGCACCCTTTTATTAGATGATTTGGAATAGTCATTTTGATACTCATCATATTTTCAGTTTCCCTAGTAACAAGATAGTATGAAAAAACTGTTTTGCATGAGTTCATCCTGAGATGAGTTATTAACTAAATAGTTATCATGTATTACTTGCACGTATCTATGTATTACATAATAGGCATATAGATAATCTATTGTCTCTCCATTAATGTTAATACTGGCACAGATTATCATCTCACAGGTATCATCTCTTCAAGTTTTATGAGCCCCTGTATAAGATGAAATACCAGCAGAGATGAAAGATCTTAAAACTCATAGTATTTGAGATTTTTTGGATCACCACACATAACAAGGAAAAATATAGTGACATATCCACCCTATGCAGACAGAGCCTGTGGGAAATATTGGGTGCGGAGCAAATGAGCGGAGGGTGCGGAGCTAACGGTCATTTTTGAATTTAAATTTGGGATATTTCTGAAACTAAGCCGTTTTGGGACTTCAAATATACCAAGATATGTGTATTTGACACCAAATATCAATACAATTGTGAAAATAGTAGCGCAATTCATTCTATAGCGACGCAGTGTGCCTTAAACCTTTCCCAGACCTATATATTTTGAAATTATCCTTTTAATACTGAGTCCTCAGCATTCATAAAAATGGTGTTCAAGGTACACTATCTATACAAATTATTTTTGCATCTTGGAAGCCAGGCAGTATCTGTGTGATTTTATAAAAATTCGGAAATGTTTTTCAGATATGAGCCCCCTCTATATATTGGGTGCGGAGGAGCTCCATAAACGTACCTCCGCACCCAATATTTAGAGGGGGCTCATATCTGAAAAACATTTCCGAATTTTTATAAAATCACACAGATACTGCCTGGCTTCCAAGATGCAAAAATAATTTGCATGGGTAGTGTATCTTGAACACCATTTTTTATGAATGCTGGGGACGCAGTATTAAAAGGATAGTCTCAAAATATATAGGTCTGGGAAATGTTTAAGGCATACTGGGTCGCTATAAAATGAATTGCACTACTATTTTCACAATTTTATTGATATTTGGTGTCAAATACACATATCTTGGTATATTTGAAGTCCCAAAACGGCTTAGTTTCAGAAATATCCCAATTTTAAATTCAAAAATGACCGTTAGCTCCGCACCCTCCGCTCATTTGCGCCGCACCCAATATTTCCCACAGGCTCTGTCTGCATAGGGTGATATCATGATTAAGAAGATAGTTATAAGAGAACTTGTCATCATATTGACTTCAAATTCATAAAATGTCCAGGCCTGTAGCCAGCTTGTACCAAGGTTGGGGGTGGTCACTTTTGAAAAAATTCCAGTCTTATTTGACAACTTCGGCCTTAAAATCACTTCAAAAGTGCTTAGAAAGGTGAAAAACTACATGGTTTTGAAAGAATTTTTGGCCAAACTCCCTGGTTATGGGCCTGATATCTTATGAACAAGGAACATTGACATCTGCGTCTGAATCTCAATCTGATGATTACCGGACCTTATACAAAATATGAAATCTCATAGCTGAGAAGAAATATGATAAATGGAAAACTAGATCACATATAGGGAACTATTTTAGACATCTTCCTAGAAATCTAGATCACTTATAGGGAACTGTTATCGACATCTTCCTAGAAATCTAGATCACTTATAGGGAACTGTTATCGACATCTTCCTAGAAATCTAGATCACTTAGAAGGAACTGTTATCGACATCTTCCTGGAAATCTAGATCACTTATAGGGAACTGTTATAGACATCTTCCTAGAAATCTAGATCACTTATAGGGAACTGTTATCGACATCTTCCTAGAAATCTAGATCACTTATAGGGAACTGTTATCAACATCTTCCTGGAAATCTAGATCACTTATACGGAACTGCTATCGACATCTTCCTAGAAATCTAGATCACATATAGGGAACTGTTATCGACATCTTCCTGGAAATCTAGATCACTTATAGGGAACTGTTATCGTCATCTTCCTAGAAATCTAGATCACTTATAGGGAACTGCTATCGACATCTTCCTAGAAATCTAGATCACTTATAGGGAACCGTTATAGACATCTTCCTGGAAATCTAGATCTCCTGGATCACCAAACTTCATGATGACTGGGAGCAAATGAGAAGACATGGTTCATTATGATGAGAAATGATGAGATGCGCTCTTTTGGGGATAGAGCAACAGTGGTTTCATTAGCAGCAGGCAACAGGCAATTTTCACCGGTTGTTTTCACAAAATCACCTGTCTTATTTTCCATGTTATATTCATGATTTCCATTAATTTTGCCTTTTTTTCATTTATTTAGCCTGTTGTAAGAAATTATAGGGAAACCCTTGGAGTAAGCAAGATCAATGCCAGAATCTTTCTGGTTAGCTTTGGCAAAATAACAGAGTCCTATTTGATGTTTGTTTAATACAAAAGACACCTACACAAAAATATAATACGCGATCAGTTAAAGTAGCTGTCATATTATTCATGTGGGCTCGCCATTCGCCATCCTGCAGTTAATTTTAGGGATTATTTTTATAATTAATTTTTGCATGTGGTGTGATGGGGGATATCTTGCTGTAAAACGATTTGGTTTGCCCACCGTGTATCTATGTTGTGCTCCGCCGTGCCCCAAAGTATTTACATGGTAGGGAATGGTCAACGGTGAGCTCACATGGCCAAAGTGTGACAGGTCCATAAGATCTGGTCAATAGAGGTGTACGCGATAGTTTAAAATGACAACTTTCTAGAACGACAATATTCTCACCTCCCCTGTTGAAGAGCTCAAATTTCGGGAACAGATTTTTGACATGTCCATAAGATCTGGTCAATTGCAACACCCACATGACAATATAATACAGAATAACTTTGTGGGGAAATTGAGGTTTTTGCATGATGGGTTTTGCTCTAAATAGCCATTTAGGTTGTGCTAATAATGTCCCCACGGAATACTTGAGAGTTAATTTTGCAATTTATCATTCTTTAGTGTTGTTTTTTAAATGGACAAGACTGCCGTGACATTTTGGCAAATATGCCAGCTCAGGCTGTGCTTTATTCCTGTTATGTTCACAAAGGGTAGGATTTTCTACGATTTTGTCGTTCGTTCTGTTGTCAACTTTGCGGATTGATTTGAAACTTTCAGGGATGATTCTTAGTATGAATTGTTAAAATTTTGAGCATCCAGGATAGATTTGGAGGTAGCAATTTTGATTTGATTTTAGGTGTGCCTTATTTATTTATTATATAAACAGCACGTTATCTTTGTTTACTCATCTCGCGATTGCTATCATGAAGATTGACTTTTTTGGAGATGGTATTTTAACAATCCATTATAATTTACTTTGGTTTTGACGGGGAGGTAGGGCTACATCATGCTGTAATATGTTATTTAGGCCATACAGAAAAATATTTGAACAATATTGTTGGAAATAGAAGTCAAATTCACTCACATTTTCCTAAAAATCTATCATTTAGTTCAATGCAGATTCAACAAATGAAATGTAAAACACTCTACGATCTGCGCTAAAATATATGTGTGAAGTCAAAAAAGTGCTAACTGTAGGTATTAGAAAAAGAAAAATTTTGAATATTCTTTTGGTTTAATATTTTGCGAGGCTACCTGATTTTTTATATTCAGGACACGTCTCTCTGTATTTTCAAGGACCTTTGAACCAAGCTTACACAACTAGACATAAAATCTAATTCAGTTATTAGATTCCCAAATGCTGTTTAAAGAAATTCGTCAAAGATAAAGCAATGAATACATTAACGCATCACAAAGGTAAAAACCCAAAATGTGCAAAAATCCAAAAATCAAATCATTAAGATTTTTGAAAAAAAATATTTTGAAGTATTGTTAGGTTTTATGAAGTATATTTATGGGAGATGTTCTGCAATTGACTGTGATTTATGACTCAACTTCTCATAGGATAGATATCCTGCTTAATTTGCCGTCCCTCTATGTTTTCATTTATTGTGTTGGAATTTTACACATTAAAGAGCAGACTTACAATATGATTAGGTTTTGGGCATGCTGGGTAAATAACTTGGTGGCCATTTTGATTTTTTGATAAAAAGTGGGATATTTCTTGTTTTTGTTGTTGTTAAATTGTATTTTATCATTACTATTGTATTCCGTTTTCAACTGTCAACATATGCTAAGTCTCGTATACCAAATGGGAAGAGTCCCATAGGGTTTCATAGAATCCCATATGGCTAAATTCTTTAACTTCCAATGTGGTGTAAGTTTATGGAGGTCCTACCATGCTGCATTTCTCTCATATCGTTCTCTAGCCTTATTTAAAGTGGTACCCAATGTTCTTTCCTGAAATGAATGCATATCAGTAGAACAGTCTTATTGTAGAAGAGTGTTACCAGTCAGTACAGTGCCTTCTACTTGCATAGATTTTCTACGATAAATTACACTGATTATTTCGGTTAACAGATTACTGATTATGTCTAAAATGACTAAAACAACCTGTGAATGTAACTTGTTTGTGGTCAAATCTTAAACGAAAAAATAAGTGAAAATGAGTAGAAAACGCC